TAAACAGGCTGTATTGTGTGGATATTTAATATAGTCTATTCATTTATTAAATTACCAGAAAAGGCGCCGTATCAGGAAATGGCCGATACATAGAGAGAGGATTTAGGCCACACGGTATTTCTCAAAAAAGGTGGGCACAACATAAAGTCTGTGAACACAAATTTTGCAAAGCACCTTTGGGAAACATGTCGGCGCTGCGGGAAATCTACCGTACGTAGTGTTTGCCACCCGAGAAGGCCATTGAGAAACGTCCGTGGAGCACAAAGAAAACACAGAAGGAAATGTTTAAGCAAGTCACACATTTCTCACAGGTGTCTGTGGTAACTTGTCTATCGGACGCATACTTGTTCCTCATAATAGAACCGTACACAGACCAGATAGAAGGCAGCCTGAACTTCACTAAACAAGTTCTCAGCATAGGCGGGTTATTTTCTTACTGGTTCACTCGTTTGCTCGTAAAGCATTCATGTACTGAGGCTTGGGTTTTGCTCCAGAGATTATGTGCTCCTGCAGGTTGAACTTTGTCCCCGTCGCTACCATCCATCTGGACAAGTTAGCTCAGTAAGTCCTGGAGAGAATGACATAAGCAAATAGGGCTCTTATGCAAAAAAAAAAAAAAAAAAAGCTCCATGCTTTGTGCTTTAAGACCGAGCAAAGTGAGCACATCTTGAGCAGCGGCCTAGTCACACTCTAATCCATAATTAAGGGGAATTTAAAGTGGTGTAGCCATAAATGGAGTATGGTTTTTTCCAGCCAAGTGAACATTCACTCTGTGCGACAAATCGCCAGATTCAGATCCTTCAAATGAAGGTGCTTGATCCAGCTGCTTTTTCTATGTAGTGTATTGGTTGTAACTTAACTAAACTGCAAAAAATAACAATGGCTTCACCCTCCCCCCCCCCGACACGTCTGGCAGAGAGCCATGCAACACCAACAAAAAAAAGCTTTTACAGTCCATCCTAATGCTGCTGACAAGTTGAAAAAAAAAATCTCCATCTCAGCTGCAGCCCTTCTGATGACATTATCTTTAATAATGTTCTCAGCTGTAATTGCTATTCAATTAATTATCCTTACACTGCATGGGAGGGCGACGGGCCTGATCATCGAGATCAATGTGGCCCTTTCCTGCTTCTGCTCAGATGGCGTGGTCGATTTGGGTTTTTTTTTTCCCCCACTGAATTGTGACCACATTTTTAAAAAAAAGACGTATTTCTCACTGTGACTGAGCTGCAGTGCCGGCATGGCTGGAGGGAGGGGGGGGGGGGGGTGTAATTGTGGGCTGTTGATTAACCTGGGTGTTCATTCGAGCGTGTGTGGGAGGGAGCGTGTTCGTATGTCACGCAGCACTCGGTAGATTGACTCACATGTTCGCATGCGTGTACTTTTCTGTCAGGTGACAAAAACACATTATATTGAAAAAATAAAAGAGGGAAAAAAATAGGATTAGAGAACTGCTGCCGTCTCACCTCCTCCCTCCGTGCTCAGACACAGAGAGTGAGCCACAGACAAAAAATAAAAATCCCCCACACACACACACGCGAATGCTCTCTGGGTAGAGCCGCAGCCGGAGCGCGGCACGGAGACTCTCTGGACGAACGTTATACATTTATGGATGGCGAGCGTGCATTTGGAGTGCCGCTCGCCTGGCGAGGGTCCGTGGGTCAGGAAATAGAGGAGCGATGCGAGGAGAATTCAAAATAAATGAAGCGACCTGAATTATTTAGGAGGTACAAACTGAGAATTCAATGCTGGCTTTTAAAAAAAAAAAAGAAGTGGAAAAAGACCACAAAGAGGCATCCGAGGTCCCCTTGCGTCTAACTTGACCCGCTCGCGCCAACGTGAAGCGCCGCAGGGAGCTAAAAAGAGCGTCCATTAGGTGGATAAAGAGACGGCGAGGTGCAAAGAAGCCATAGGTACACCCCCTGGTTTCACTCCAGCCTGAGTCACCAAGGGCTTTCTTTACTCCCCCCACTACATTTCATCAGCACGCTATCCCACTCCTCCACACTGCCCCCCCCTCCTCACGCTACATATATTTATTATCCTGCTGTGTGTTGCAGATGAACCCCTTTGGCTGAGTCTCCATCACTGAGCGGCGTGCAGGAGAACAGATGGAGAGAGGGAGGAAGAGAAAGAAATCAGAGTAAGCAATTCTGTTGGCGAGCAAATAACCGGCGCCGGACTAATGGCGGCAAAACTGAGCGCGGCTCTAATCAATACGCATCTCTCCTAATCAAAAGAGACCTGATAAATCTAATGGTCCTACGAAGCCTTGTACAGTCCATGGACTTCAGATGAGGCTCTTAACACAACTGCTCACTAAAGCGCTAATATCTTCCCAACAGGTGCTGCTGGCTGTAGTTCATCAAATGTGGAGCATTCTGAAGCAACAAAACCAAAGCAGTCATGAAAGGAAGCAACAGGCACATGACATTAAATTGTTCTTGTAACGTTGGGGGAAAAAAACAGAAAACAACTGTAAACACAAAATCGCCTCAATGGCGTGATAGTGGGTTCATACAGGTAGGTGTGTGTGTGTACAGGTGTGTGTGTGTGTGTGTGTGTGTGCATACCTCAAACCTGCCAGTGCTCTTGGTTGAGGGTTAGAAACTGGTTCTGAGGGCCCCCGGGGCTGGCAAACGGATTTGACATGAAACACTACAAACATACACAACGACGTCCCCTGACAGGTAAGGGCCTGTTTACCCGGGCGGGGGTCACAGTCAGGAGGAGACAGACTGGCAGACTTCAGTGCTTTTATTCTGCAGCAGGACGGGGGGGGACTGAAGAGAGGACCAAAGACGGGTGAGGGGAGTGGGGGGGCTACAGAGAAAGAGCAGGACCAGCGTGGTGCTGCGTCCTGCGCAGAGGCAGTAAATATTTGAGACCAGTACACAGCCCTTAAGACGCAACTGTAAACAGGTGTGCTTTAAAGCCTTATCGGGCCACAAGGAAGAACTCTCATGGAAAAAGAAACGTCAGGACATCACAGGGGTGAGATCAGTCAAAATCTAAACCACAAGGAAAAACTGTAGGCTAGATTCGCCTCACCATCTTGATTAAATAGCAGATTGTAACGTAACACATCCGTCAGATTTGATCCTTTTCAATTCATGTTTTTCTAAGTGAAAAAAAAACTAAAACCAACAGAATCCAATTTCAAACTAAAAAGTGCTATAAGTGAGTGCCGTCGTACGAGGTAAAAATCCATTATTAACCAATTACCAAAAGGCTTGTTTAGTTAAGTGATTGCAGGACTAATTGCTTCCGCGCTAAAGTAATTTCATTAACCTAAAGCAATCCCATTTGTTTCACGCTGCCCACTTCCTGTCTTTGCCGACGGGGTAGGAGCCCCCCCCGTCGGGTTTCAGTGTACTTCATCACCGAGCAGCGGAGGAATACTCGCGAGAGTACTACGACAGTCAGATTGTGACGCAGAAACTTCCCCGGTGTGGCTCCAACCGATGCAGAGCGTGCGAGGAGGTCCTCTGGTTACCATGGTGCCAAAAAACAGACACCGGAGGTGCTGCCTGGGCGATGGCGTTCTCCTCGCATTCAGATCATGCGGCTGCCTTCAAGGGCTTGAGAGAACATCAAAGGTAACTGTGTCACCACGAAAAGCCCAGACGCACTCGCTCCCTGTCCCTGTCCTCCCAAAGACACACTGGGGTTTTAGTGGCACAGTGCATCACAGTGGGAGACTCAACGGAGGGGTGGCTTTTGGTATGAGCAGTCACACTCTCCCGTCCCTCCATCTGTCCCCCCCCTCTTCATGATGCACAGGTATCCCCCCACCCCCCCCCCCCCTTCTGTGGGCCTCCCATAAAGCCACCGCGTGCATGGATGGCCGCGTGGCCGGCTGCCCCGCACAAAATATTATTTACAGCTCACACTGGAGAGAAATTACAGCAGCAATCCTCTCCAGAAGGAAAATCAGCTGACCTGGCAGCACTTAAAGAGGGAGGCCAGAAGGAGGGTCAGGCACTAGAGTTATTATATCGCCTTATTCACCGCCGCTATCTATACTGCTCACAGAGCCTGTGGGGGAATCAAACCACCGGCGACAACAGGTTACCGGATCACAGGACGACTATAAAGAGGCAGTAAGAGGGGGGGGGGGTTTAGAAACCTGGCTGATTCATGGCTGATTCATGGATTAGAACAGGCAGTGAAACCAATAGGGGAGACTTTAAAAAGGTTAAGCTTTAAATTGAACAATCGTAAAACATGAGGTTCAAAGCAGGATGCAGAGCAACGATGGAGCAAAGACATCCACGACCGTGTGGCGCATTGAGAAACAGATGATTTGCATCTGTAGTCGAGCAGGAGTGCGTATTGTTTTGTTTTTCTTATATTGAATGAGCAGAAGTCTACAATCCAAAAAGGTATTAAAAAAAAAAACATGATCCTCAAATGTATAGAATCCAGATCACCAATCTCATCTGACCTATTCATCCATCCATCCATTCGACTCTAATAGAGGCCACACAGAGAAAGGCCTATCTTTGGATGCAGGTCATAGTGCCTTTAAATAGAGAGCCTATTTTTAGCATTGGGGTCCCCGGAGAAAAGGAGTCCAGGGCCGCGGAGACAGAAGATGAGAGAGCCTCCTCTGTGCGGGTCACACTGACTGCACTATTCCACTCAGAAGACAACAATTACACAGATAATAAAAAAATAAAATAAAAAAAGAGTCGTGACTCCTGCTGGCAGAGAACTTACCTGTCAGTTAACGTTAGGTAACTGGCTCAGAGCAATGGAGGGAGACCCCCACCCCCTCGCTACGTGTTGTCAGGCAGTGTCAACACTTTGCTCAAGTTTCTTTTTAGCTAAAACGGGGGTGTGGGGGGTTAAAATGATTTACATCGTTTCAGGACACAGAGCCACTGCAGTTAAAAGCCGTTAGCAGCCGCAACACGCACACACGCTAACAACTGCGCGCGCGTGTGCGTGTGTGTGTGCGCGCGTGTGTGTGTGGCGTTGATGACACGTAAACATACCAAGCGGTTCAGTCTTCTCCGTAGCATCTTCCTCTGCGTCCTGTTCCTTGATTTCGCAACGCTGGTGAACTCTCTCTCTCTCTCTCTCTCTCTCTCTCTCTCTCTCTCTCTCTCTGTGTCGGTGTCTCTCTCCCGGCCGGGCTTCTTTCGCGGGGATAACTTCACATGTATGGCGTTAGTTCGCCCTGCTAGCCCCTTAGCTACCCGCTCTCTACTCTACCCTTAGTTCTAGCTACGCGAAACGTCGCAGCGGCGCTACATCGTTTCCATTTTGTTTGATTTCGGCATCCTGTCACCATTCGCATTCTCTCTCTCCCCCCTCTCTCTCTCTCTCTCTCTCTCTCTCTCCCCCCTCTCTACCCCCCCACCTGGAATTATTTTTCCGCGTTGCGGTTGCCGCCTTCTACTCCGCGGAAGGCTGGAGCGGTCGCCCTGTTGCTCGGGCTACTACGAATCATCTGCTGGCGCCGCGCCGGTTGCCTCGCTTGAAAAACTACCGGTCCGAAAAAGAGACGCTCGTTCAGGCGGAAAGCCGACAACTAACTTCTCTCTTCATCGCCGCCGCCGCCCCCCTCTCGGCACAAGTCGCCTCGGCTCCCTGTCAAACAATTCGCACTCCAGCGGCAAACCCACCGCCGACGTCCCCACGTTCACAGGCTCCACCCGGCGAAGGTGCGGCGGGTTTGTGCATCGCGGTGCATTGTGGGTAGTGTAGTCTGACGCTGAACCCCTGTTCTGCGGAGAAACAGGCGGTTTGTGGTCGTCCTTCAGGGACCATTGAGCGTTGAATAAAGGCGTCTTATGTTAAGTTATTCTCTGGGATTTTAGTATCCCAGAGTAAGATGGCTCATTACAGCATGATGGACAAAAAGCACAATAGCAAGCAACACGACGTCTTTTATCAATAACATATAGAAAACATTTTGCACTACACTTTTATTACACTGCAGTTTGTTGAAATATTACAAGGTTCTAAGTATTTCCCAATAGCAATACTTCCCTTAAAAATTGAAGTAATACTTTTTAGCACGGAAGCTTTTGACAAGCCTTCGACATACCTATGTTAAGTTTATTGTGTCCGCATGTTAATTGCAGATCTTGAAGGAGTTGCTCTGAGAATTGGTAAATGACGTTTGAGAGAAAAACACCAGTCTTGATTACAAATTACCTGCACTTGAGTATGTCATGCGTCTGGTGCCTTGTTGCAACATTGGCATTGCTACAGACATTTCTTTCATCAAACTTACAAAAAAAGACTAATAAAGTATGAACAGGAAACAACAATTTGTAAAAGATGAATGTCAATGTACATTTCTGATGGCTAAATGAGTTCTGCGACTCAAAAGCTTGTCTTGATTAATGAACTCTGACATCAAATGTCCTTCAGACGTTACTTGCACAGGGTCCTTTAAATACTCTGCCCAAATATCGAAGGTCTGTCACAGCTTTGTGCCAACACTGTTGACCTCAATGAGGAAATGTTAACATAATAAAAATGCTCGAATGTCCTACTTCCTGCTTCTAGCTTTAAAGAGTACCGTGTGGGAGAGGGAAACAGTTGAATTGTGTTCCCATAGAAAACCACATCTCTGCCCGTGTCTTGGTGTCATCGGGTGAAATGTGCCAACGTAGGGAAAATTCCTGCTACCGTGACACAAGTTGAAGCAAATAAAAGCAGAATAAGCTGAAATTCCAAGAAACAGGAAAGAACAATGAGCCCAATGTCTGAGGCTTAGAACGTCTCGACTCTTGTTATGCGCATTTAAAAGCCACACAGAGCAGCTGAGCATAAAAATACATGCAAAAATGTAAATGTTTCACAGAGGTAATTGCTCTTAATGGTCTCTTTTAGGAAAGTTGTGCTCTTCTGTGAAAGTATCGGACAACTACTATTGTCAATTATAATAATATTTTGAGTCATGCATTTCATAATTACTAAAACCTTGCAGATAATGTATTATGTAACAACATTTAGCTGCTTGTGCAATACATGTTGTGTGAAAGCAACATTAACACAGAGGCTCATTTGTATTTGTACATGAGTGACCCCGGCATCTATATTTGCATGTAGCAACTCGGGTTGCATTGTGCCTCAGTGACGCCCTTCCTGTCAATAAAATGTGGTCAGTTCTGCAAACTGTGACAAGTGGGGAAGGTGTTTTTAAGTTGTCACGTACTTGTACATAACCTTTAGAGGGTGTCTATGTTAGTAAGAACAGCAGCCAAGTCAGCCAAGGTCAAAACCATGATTGCGTGCTTGTGGTTAGTGTGCGTGCGAACGAGTGTAACCACTAAGCATTGGACGAACACCGTTCGGTCTGTGTCTCAGATATCGTTCAGTTTCGTAGCTGACTTGAGCTTATATGAATATTTGAACTTTTCTAAACTCAGGTTGCGTGTTATAGTTAAAAGCCGTCAAAGTAAAAATATTTGAGGCACCACCCAGTCTGCACAATGTGGTTTCAGTACGAAGACATGCACCTCAAAATAACATCACATGAGAAAGTGAGATTCCCAACGTGGTGTTTCCCAGCCGTGGTGCAGAGAGAACACGTGGCAACCAGGGACCGCTGACAACATGTAAATGTTCTTATTTCTGACTGACACCTCAAATGAATTTGATTGTTTTTAGGGGGTTACGGTTTGTTAGAATATTATTATTTTCACTGTTGACACACTTGTACTATGACACTGTAGCTACTACTCTTAATGAAACCCGTCACTGTGGACTTTGTTTAAACTCAAAATTCATGTTTGCAGTTGTATTGTTTCATCATATGCTGTTAAAATGCTAAATGTTGTTCTTCATCTTTTTTTCTCTACTATTTATTTCCGAGTAAGGCATTTTTTCTTACAATTTCTATGTGATATTATTATAAAACGTGTAATAGAGAAATAATCTGTCAGCCACCAACAGATACACGATAAATGTGATTCTATCGCCACCATGTGGTCAAACGAAGAAACGCTTCATTCTCTTTTACTGTTGGTGCATTTTTGAGAATAATAGTCTCCTCCTCCTCCTCCGGGTTTCTTTAGCAGAAAGTCACACACTTAGTGAGGATTGACTTCCATGCGACGTAGTGTCTTTTTGTAGAAATCAACAGCATTAAGGTGTAAACGCGATGTAAACTGTGGGCTCATCAGTACTTCCTCATATCTGAGAGTGACTGACAGCAGCACGATAGAACTGCTTCAGGACTTCAACTTTAGAACAACAAAATAAAGTTAAGAGATTCTCTCGAGATGAGATCACATAAACTGCGATACGTACTTGGTCCAGTGGAGCAAACTGGTACATAACCTTTACCACCAAAGAGCAGTGATGTAATTCTTCTCTGTTTACTGTATTCAGTACTGCGTCCGTATCTAAGATGCATGCGTTGACCTTTCAACTGGTTGCTGTAATTCAATGAGCATCCACATGGTGGCAGCACCGTGACGTCAATGAGACGCAACCAACCTGTTGCCCTGGGAAAGAAACTTTGAGCAGAGCTGCAGAGGTGATAGCAGTTTCCAGTGTATTAAACTGTATTAAAGTTCATTGCAATCAAACATCTTGGAAATTTTAATGTGTTTTTAAAGACTAAACTATTAGATTATTAGAGCTGTTTAAGACAGAAATTTAAGTATGTTGCTCATGTGCACAGACCGTTCGTTTTGTGACTGTTTAGTATTCAAGTGAATGCAGAATACAGGAACAATGTAATACATCACATAAAACGTGACCAAACCTTTCATGCATCCCAAAGAGCATGAATAAATAAACGTACATGTATAGTTATCATTTATTTTACTACAGATATTTCTATGTGGATAATATGAATATAATTACCGCATAGCAATTGTATAACAATCTAGATTTCATTTTTCAGTGAAAGTATGGCTTAAGGAGGGAGGAGAGTAATACAACTGACTACATTTTGCACTGTGTAAATCTTAAACAACCCTAAAATATTACAGACATGCATTTGATGACAATATATGGTTATTTTTTTAATTATTCCCTCGACGACTTAACATTGCCAGATACAGTATTTGGTGAACTTAGTGGGCATTCCTTCACTGGTTCTTCCCCCCGTGAGTCGCCTTCGTAGTTCTGAATTTAAACTGACAGCCCCTGTGGAGGAGTTGGGAGACTTCCCCAGCCATCTGTCTTAGAGCAGCCCCCCTCCAACACCCCCTTCCCTCCCTCCACGCATCCTTCATTCCCACACTGGGCCTTTGTCAGCAGTTCCTGTCCCTGGACTAGGCGTGGCGTGCGCAGAGGCTGGGGGCGACCGTGGGTGCTTTCAGAGGCACCTGCAGATGGGACAAAGGGCCAAGGGTGCTGGGGCTGAAGACAGATTGATGCTTTGTGCACTGGGGCTGGAGAGAGAGAGAGAGAGAGAGAGAGAGAGAGAGAGGTGGTGCATGGGGGATAGTTAGCTGAGAAGTTTTCCGGCAGAGGATTTTTTGGGGGGGAACACGGGGTTGGTGGGGGAGAGGGTGCGGGGTTGGTGGAGGGGGAGGTCTGTCACTCCAGTCTGTGTGAGTCCAAGCTTTGGAGGACCCGGAGAGATTGACAGCTTTTGTGGACGGCCTCTCTGCACAATGGTCGTGCTTTAATGGGCGGTGAAGCCAGAGTAGAGCCTTTGGGGAAGGTTCGGTGGGGAGGTGGCGCTCGGTCGTGGTTGTGATGGTGGCGTTGCGGGGAGGCCCAGGGATGTGGTGGGGAGGGGGCGGGGGAGGGGGAACTCCCTTCTGATTAGCTGTGGGGTCGACCACTCTGGGGAATCACTGCCTGGCTCGTATTAATGATTGTTTGAATGTTGGATGCAGCAGCATCAATTAGAATGTGTTAGCAGATAGCAATGCAGCGAAGAAAACCCCTTTTCCTCCCTTTTGCTCACAGAGACAACACAGTCCCACTATAGGAGGTGTCAGTGCCACAAAGCCTTTTTTGTGGCTCTCTCTCCATTACATTACCAGTGCAATATGTAAGGTGGGGACTCTTTTGATTTAAATTAAGTGGAAAAACACTAAATCCTATTTTCATTCAGCTGGGATAATGGTGTTATACTCTATAAAGGTCTTTAAACTACTTATGTGTGGCTTAAAATCTTCCCCAGCTCTCTTTTCACTCCACCTCAGTGTCTTACTCTCATTGGGGGTATTATATTTATTCAATGGTGGAGGGTCAAAGACGGACGGTTAAACAGAGTCGCTTGTAGCCTTAACTGCCGCATCACTTCTAATTGTGTATCGGTGGGGCAGCGGTTTGTCGTGTTGTCCCCCCGTAAGAAAGGAAGAGCGGATATGAATTTAAACAGTATCTTGTAAGGTATTGTTTGGAGGGGTCTCAGGCCACCACTTCAGACTCAGAGGGCCTTTTAGTAAAAGACTCGTAGTTCTATAACTTTCAAGACAGCGATATAAAAGAGGAGGAAGGAGTTGAAAACACTTTGATGGCGATCACATGTCGGGGTTGACACACCATTCTGTGTTTTGAATGCAGAGAGGCCGGCCGCACATGCCCTTCGATCTAATTAGGCTGCACTTAATTGAATGCTTTTTAGGGTTGCATACAGCAAACACATTCTGTATTTGAAAACAATGAAATAGCTTTAATTTCCACCAGCTACGCGCCTCAGCCCATTCCACTGAAATGTTCAGGCTAA